TAGTCACGTGACTCGCTGACGCAACAGTATTCATACGAAAATGTAAACCCGTAGGCCTTCATGAACGCTAAATTTTCATGTTCTAAGTGAAGCTGGGTCAGTAAGTTGATGCTAGAAACCAACATTTACACATACACACGCACATGAGATGGAAACTAACAGGCGAAATAAGCAATTCATCTGATACTTCCTCAATTAAGAAATAACAAATATGTAATATTTTTGCACAGATTATACTTTTGCTCTAAAATATTCATTATATTCCGTAACAACTAAAAACGTGTATGAAGTTATTATCTTAGATGAGCAATAATAAAGTAAACTTAGCTATAAACATGAAAGACAATACAGAAATCCCGTAAAAGATGCTAAAATACTTTGTTTTAAAAGTTTATGTAATAAAATTATACTGATTAACTAAAATGACGACGTATGTGGATTTAGGCTTAGACTAGATTTAAAAGGACTTTTGAACAGATTAACAAGTAAATAAAAAAAGATTTACATTTTCTTACCATACCTTACAATATATGGTTCAAAATATCATTTAAATGTCATGTAAGAAAATCTGGCTTGGTTGTCACTTTCAGAATAATAACTCCCCTATGGAATGTTTGGAACAGCACTTCAAACGTACAGCCTCATGAATCTTACAACAGCTTAAGTCATGCTTAACGTTTTGTGCTTTTCTGGACCTGTTTTCCTCACAGACCTCATCCATTCAGCACCATCGATTTTTCTGTACGTCATATATTGAACGCCAGTCTAACTAACGCTTGAACTAATAACGTATATATTAGTATATTAAAAACAAGCAGTCCCACTTTTTTCTTGGGAATAAATTGACTTGATAATAGTTTAATCTGTTATGACTAAAAGTCTGTTCCCATTCTTATCAGCTTTAAAAATACGTTAATACACATACTCCTAAGGCTGTTATATACGATATTCTGAATTTAATGTTCTCTTAACGTTCTTGTTCAGCATGTGCATATTTTTCACAGAATGTTTTTTAAATTAGATTAAAATGATTTACACCATGGTTTACTCCATCGTTTGATTGACATGATGGACTATAAAGATCGGAACCATAATTTGTCGATGACTAACATAATGCACGTCGTAGAATTTTAGAATACAAGAAACTTGACGTAAAATTCATAGACTGGTATTGTGTAAAATCCATTGTTGTAAGCCAAGAGACTTGATGTACAATTCATTGACCAGCAGAGTGTAAAATCCATTCTTATAAGCTAAACTTCGTAAAACATAATTCATCGACTGGTACTGTAAAATCCATTGTTGAAAGTAAAGATTTTATTATAGTTAATTATAATACGTTATATGAATTTGCCTATTTTGCATG